TGCTATCATCCTGGATACTGGAGATTGTGAAGGTGCAGAACGAGACCCTTAATTCGATTTCCCCATCCACTCCAGACTTATCAGCCTCCACTCACACTCGTTAGGCTCTTGGTATCGACCGTGTTAGTGCCAGATCGACCTGTGGTTGCGCAAGCTGTTCATTGTTGTGCCGAGAGTGATGACGAGACCGTTGCCCTTGTGAAGATTCCAATACGTAGTAGATTTGCCCTCACTGCGCTTCCCGATTCGGTAGCCTCCCTCGTGTCTAAAGGGCGAACAGGGCTTTGTCCGCCTGTGGTTCGAGCCTTCGAGGATCGAAACCCCTAAACCTCTAGGGATAAGTGCGCAACGGTGGCTTGTGAGTGCCGGGCTGAAACATCCACGTCCCCTTAAACTATCGGCTATGGCCGTAGCCCGTTATTCCAGCGTCCAGAATATCGGAACGTCCAATGCATGGTATATAGTAATGAAGTCGCATTTACCCACCAAAGCTTGACCGGGCATGTCGCAACTCTCACAAGATCTCCCTCACTTATCAAAAATCCCAGTATTCTTTCGTCTTCGGCGACACATTCCTGGCTAACCCTTGATGTTTCTCCTCATAAAAGCCTCTCGAATCGGATCCTGTCTGTATGTACTAGCTTAGCTCAGGTAAGGTCTTGCGGGCTCTGAAATCAGATCCTTACAGTGCGTAGTATGTACATAGTTAGAGACTAAGTAGAGACTAGTGCTGGACTAGCATCTCAGGCGTTGCTCTGAATGGAACGTGGGGCTGGGCTCTTGGAGGCCCCCTCTGTGTATCCGTTTCTTCATCGAGTTTGGATCGCTTCTCAAGACTTGGTGGTACTTTGGTAGGTATGCAGCCCCGCTGAGGGATACGTATGTATGCACTGGCGACCTACGTAAGTACATATAACAAGTACTTGGGTAGGGCCTAGAGACCGGCCACCCCTTAGCTTTTAGTCAGTCACCAGTGACGGTGCCTATAGCACGGGGGGTACGTTAACTGGGGAAAGGGTCGGTTGACTAGGGAAAAAAAGCTACCTTAAATTCATATATATGCCTTACCAAATTATAAAGTACCTCCTTTTTCACTATTAACTATATAATTATAACCAGACTAACCCCTCTATTTATAACTATCACTAAAAATGCATATTATAATAATACCAAGTAACTATTATAACTATTTAGTATTTTCTTTATCTCTTAAGATAATAAATTCGCCCTAATTAACTTTAATACTTCCCCTAATAACTATTTTATCATTTTCGGAATCATTATCTTCTTTATTAATTAATTCCTTATTATCTTTAATAATTTCTAAGCTATTAGCTTCTAACAATATCTTCTTCTAATTAAAGCGGCGTTTTTCCTTATTTATAATAAGGAATTCTAGTGCCTCCTTTATAATATTAAAGTTATAATTAAATAGAAAAAGGAATAAGGGATTCTAGTAAAATCTAAAGACCTTAATAACTTCCTAACTTCCTAATTCTACTACCTGCTTTACTCTCTCCTTAAATTACTTCATTTTATTATTAAGCTTGCAGAGAAGCCAGTATCTTAAGCCTAGTAACGCAGTTAACTTTAGAAACTCTTAGTATTATAACTTTATATAGAAATCACCTGCTATAAATAGCTTCTTCTTTTAAGAATAGCTTAGCTAGCTGCTATGAAGGTCAGTAACCTATAATAGCTTTAGACTTATTCTTAATTACTTCCTAACTGCTGCAATCTATTATTATAGATAGATAACTTTATCTTTTACTTCCTTATTATAGAGGCGCAATTCCTCTACTGCCTAACCAGCCAGTTAGTTATGCTAATCCTTTATAATGCAAAGTCTGGCATTATAAATAGTAATTAGCCTATAATTTGCTATAATCGTTATCCCCTAATCCTAGGCAGAGTATCTAAGGTTCTTTTCCTTAAGTAGGCGCATCTCCTAAGTTACTATAATGCCATTTAAAGCGAGAGTTAAGTATGCCTTTTACACCTTCTTATTAATATATAACACTAAGGGAGTTAGGGGCATGCCTGAGGCCACTAAGCATTCGATCCTAAGGGCTATATATTCCTTATACTAATAGATCTTCTGCAAATTCAGCTATGGCATGTTTATTTCGATCTAGTTAATATATAGAGGTGGCGTTAATATTAATTAAATCTCCTGATTAAAAGGAATTAAATAGTATAGCTCTTAAGATAATTAGACTTTAAAAACCTTATTAGATTTAGAGTTATTATTGCTACTATAAGTAGAAGATAACCCCTATAATATATAGCCAGGTAATAACTCCTTAGCTACCTCTAAAGATAGTAATAATAAGGGGTTGATCATACGGTCAATTATAGCTGCGGGATTATAAGGATAAATACCAGTCTTCTTTTAAGATAAGATAATAGTGCTTTTCTTAGCAGTCTTGTAGTAGATTTCCTATAAATAAAATAGGAAGTTAGCTTTATTAAAGTTTATAGCGCTATTTGCAATCTTATAAGAAAGGACTTCTTAATGCCAGTGCTTATATAAGCTAAATAGCCTAATATCTAGCAGCTAAAGAATATGCGTTAAGTAAGGAGGGAAAGGGAAGAGCTCTATGCCTATATCTTGGGCTTTTTAAAAAAGCTCTTTAGTAAAATGATTCTTATAGCTATCTAGTAATATTATTCTTTTTTATGGATTTTTTTAAGACTGCATATGCTATTTAAAGTGATTAAAGAATTCTAGCGCGGTAATATTATTAATATAGCCTTTTAGTATTATAATAATTATTATGCCTTTTTCTAATATATTATTAACCTACTGAGATAGTAACTATACCCCCAGTATAATAATAAAGGCAGGAATAATAGCTCCTATTACTAATATTAACTTAATAACCATAATGCTTATTATCTTATATACATTAATCAAGATAGGCCAGTTAATAGCTCGAAAAGTCTATATAATAATCCCATTTCTAAGATATCTAATCTAGAAGCCTATCTTATTAATATTCCAAAGACCCTCATAATCTATACCTTTTTTAATATAATTATACTACTTTTTAAACCACTCTTTAACATTTACTTAGTCTTCTATTGCCTTTCTTTATGCTTTAAGTATTAAAGTCTTCCTTCTATAAAAAATAGAAGAATAATAGCATAAGAAGCGCCTTACCTAGTATCTAGATACAATAGGGGCTCTCCCTATAGCTTTTAAAACAGAATTAGCATGCTATCGAAGAGTATGCTATTAAATATAATGTCCTTAAGTAATACGGCGCTAGCACTAAGCTAGGATTGCCTTCTCTTCTTCCGGCGAAAAAAGGGTATAATTGCCGCCATTCTTAGAGATAGGATATTTTCCTTTTTATTAAGAAAGTAACCTTTTATATAATACCCTCTATGCCATAGCAGCTTTAACAGCTAAGGAGTAATATCTTTCTTAAAGAAGCTCAATAGCCATAATAGTATGCATCTTAAGGTTATAATTAATATACTGTAAGATATTAGGGTTTTTAGTATTAGGATTAATCTATCTTTATATTACAAAAAGAGCAGGCTAAGGGCTTTTAATTAATATACTTATTAGCTTAATTAAATAAAAATTGCAATTATTATAACTAAGTAAAGTAATTATATTAGTATTAAGGATATTTAAGTAATAATTTTATTATAATGTTTATAAGGGGTAATGATATATTGCGGGCATTATTAGTGCAGTAAACGGTAATAATTTAATTAAATAAGTAACCTATTTTCTTAGTAAGGCTATATATAAATTAAAAGTAGCTTATTTATTTCCTTATTAACCGACCCTTTGCCTAGTCAAGCTACCCCCCGTGCTTGACGCACGGGCACCTATGGTATAAAGGAAAGCACGGGGTGGCCGGTCTCTAGGCCCTACCCAAGTAGGAGATTTATGGTTGTGTCTCAAGTAAAATCGACTAACGATTCAACTCATGATATTGAATCGAGTACAAGCAAGTGTGTGACCTAGTCAGAGGCCCAGAGGCCAGCATTGTGAAATGAATAGGAGCGATGGTAATATCGTATTGATTCATCTCATGTCGTAGTCGCTCACCTATTTCCTCTCCATGCTAGCTTGTTCGCATGCACTTCTCGTATCGTTAGCTTCCCAAATTCTCCGCGACAATAAATAGCAGCTCTCCAGGCGTCACTCCGGGCCGAGGCCGTTCTCTTTTAGACCTCGTATTGCAGTTTGTGTCCACAAAGCTTATGTCCAGCAGGACTGTGCTCCAGGCTCCCTATCACAACGCATGCATGGTATGGCGTCTTAAGGGCTGGTCTTGCACCGCCGACCACGTTGCTCGATGAAGAAACCACGACAACATAGTTAGAATCAAGCGATGGCTGATAGATATGCAGATATGCAACTCGGACTCTGTGGAGTCTTATGTAAGACCTAGTAAACGACAAATAAAGGAGTTCGTCCCCCTGTGATACGTTTGCCAGTAGGCACTCTCAATTTATCAGCGTTAACCTTGAGACCTCTGACCAGGCGTCTATGTGAGAAATAAATGGTCAAAGTTGGGCTGTATTCATACTGAACTCTTTTGAGGCTCGTAGAAAAGATAAATCTATGACCTTAGTTACCTGTGAGGTTGTCACGGATGGTCCACACTGGAGGTTGATTTGGTCATGAAATATATCGAATTCCTTGCCCTGTTGTATCCTTGCCCCGCGAATCACGCTTGGATTTGGCAATATCTGCATCTGCATGTCTCAATATCACAGGCATCATGTAGGACAGCCTGTCGAAGCCAGTGAGCTGGTTTCTCAATTTCTTCAGCCCTGAGTTTAGGTTAAGCCTAGACAGGACCAGAAAAGGACCCGAGGATAGACTTTGTAACCTTATCGATAAGGAAATGTCTATTGATGACTAATGAAAATCGCCTCCATTCGCACTCCCAAGAATTGGTCGTGCTACCAAGTGGGAGAAGAATGTAAACAGTTGCCAAACAGGCATGCTCACGCAGATAATTCGACGAGTCATGGCTACAGAAGTCAAGCGAGTACCCATTCCCCGACGGGGTGTAGATTATCGCGGCAAGGTTGTTCTCGCGCCTATGGTTCGTTCAGGAGAGCTACCATCAAGACTCTTGGCTCTCAAGTATGGCGCAGATCTTGTCTGGGGTAAGATGCGCAGGAAAATATGTAAAGATATTGTTTCCTAACTTTGACCAACAGGTCCTGAGACTGTGGACTACTCCATGATTGGAACTTCTCGACGATTTGACGAAGATTCGAAAACGATAGAGTGGTTTCGTCTCTCTTCCCATGGCCAGAAGGACCCTCCTCCGGACGCCAAGGAGAGCATCATTTACAGAATGCTGCCAGAGGTTGAAAAAGACAAGCTCATTTTTCAAATTGGCACTTCAGATCCCGATCGCGCAGTAGCAGCCGCTAGGTTGGTGGCCGCAGATGTTGCCGGCATCGATGTCAACGCCGGTTGCCCAAAGCCCTTCAGCACTAGCGGAGGAATGGGTGCCGCCCTTCTCAAGACTCCAGATAAACTCTGCGCTATTCTTGAGGCTCTTGTTAAGAACATCACTCCTGAATTTGAGATTGGAATAAGCGTTAAGATCAGACTCCTCGACACTGCAGCGGAAACAGAGGCACTCGTTCGTCGCCTTTGTGCGACAGGCATCACAGGACTCACCATTCATTGCCGGACGACACCTATGAGACCAAGAGAGCGGGCCATTAGAGGGCAGCTCCGTATGATCGCAGAAGTCTGCCACGAGTATGGTGTTGCCTGCTTGATGAACGGCGACGTTGAGAATAGGGATCAAGGTCTCCAACTCGCCAAAGAGTTCGGTGCGGACGGTGCGATGATTGCAGTCGCGGCCGAGAAGAATCCAAGCTGCTTCAGGAGCGAAGCTGATGGCGGACTGGCACCCTGGGAAGAAGTCGTCGATCATTATGTTAAGATTGCGATCGATGTTGACAACCGATTCGGCAACACCAAGTTCCTGCTCTCGAATATGGTCCCTGGAAAGTCGAAGTCTTACCAGCCAATGAACCAGTCCAAGAACTACAAGAGCATCTGTGAGGCGCTTTCACTTGAAAAACACCTCGAGTCCGCTCGTGCCATAGACAGCAAGCGAGGGCTGGATCAGCCACTGCAGGGGAAAGCTGCAGAGAAAGCCGCAAAGAAGGCTGCAAAGAAGGCTAACACAGAGGCTAATACGCAGCCGGTCAAGTCAAAAGAAGGAACTGAACAGAAGCGCAAGCGGAGAATGTCCGATAATAGACCTGTGAAGCAGGTGAAGACGTCCGAATCCGCGCCAGTTGCAACGGCTGTTTAGGGAAAGGGTCAGTTGGACGGTACAAGGGTGAGGGAATGATAAGGGGCGTACGGTTGAGTCAGAAGGCTTGGGTTCGCATTACATGGAGTTCAGGATACAGGCTCAGAGGACAAGAGCTTAGGAACAGAGCATATAGAGAGCTGTCACGTCGTTAGGTCATGAATGGATGATAGAGAAACGACGGCAAGGAATTTTTTTCTTTTTTATTTAAAGGAAAAAAACCCAGCCTATTCAAAATACATACAGATTTCGGTAGCTGGCTTTAAGCTGGACCGGCCATTGATACAAATGAACAGTATTTGGGAACTCTATCTAATAGTACATCTCATCTCGCTTTTTAAAATCCTTTATTTGCCCTTCTGGACCCAGCCCTCAACAGCCTCTCGTGCGTCTGTCACTTTTTCGTCGACATAACGCACGCCAACCTGGCTATGCGCCTTGGCAAAGCTGATGCTGTTGGTAATACTCTCACGCAGGCGGACGTGAGACTCAGCAATAACAGGGAACCTCTGTTCGTACTTCCAGGTGAGGTCGGAGATGTTGCGCATGGTAACAGGGAGAACGGTCCAGCCAGCGCCGATACCCAGGGCGAGGGGGAGCGAGGCGCGGAGGATGATACTGCGATTGCGAGTAATGATACTACCGGCCATAGCAGCGACCAGGACATAGATGGCTCCAGGCATGAGCTGCTCGCCGCTCTCACGGGAGGGAGCCAGTGAAGCGATGGTACTAGTGAAAGATTGCTCGAGATTGAAGGCTGAATCCATAGTCTCGTTGACTTTGTTCTCAGCAGCTACTGCGTACTTGTACAGAGCCAGGCGACCTCTACCGATATGGACAGCCAACCGCTCAGTAGGAGTAGGCGAGTGATGCCTCTCCTCATCGTCGACCGGCTCAACGGGCGTCGCAGCAACGGGTGGTGGTGTTACAGGTGCGGGATTTGCCGTCGGGATATCGTAATCATCGTAGATGGGTTTTCGCTATAGTGTTGTTAGGAAAACTGTTGAAGGCCATTAATGCTCAATGACAAACCTTGAAGTCACTGGGACCTTCGGCGAAAACAGTAGCCGGAGCCAGTGCCATGCCGCCGAGGGCCATGGTCGCCAGCGGTGCCAGGGAGCACTATACAAATCAATTAGCATGAAGAAGCTTATCTAGAGCTCAGAATTATCACTGACCCGTGAGAACACCACTCGTGAAGCCATTGTGCGCTCAATTGACGAGTGGGTGAGAAAGACGTCACGCGAATTCAAGATGGACGTCGGATGCTAGTGAGCACAATCACCAATGCCGGAAAATCTAGGACGGAAGCTCCATTGGGCCATTCAGAGTCTAGCTCGGGAGCGTTGATGGGATGACTAAGATTTTCAGTCCCAGCAGGGCATGAAGGCACAACTCAACCTACCTAGGTACCGCGACAAGGGACGGATCCGAGGCCGGAACGCCCGACAAGGCAGGAAAGTCGTTTCTGAAAGTCTTCCTCCGATATCTTAAATTCTTGGTCTAAAGTCAAGTATCTTAAGCATATCCCACCCGTGTTTTCATTCAAATTTCTGCGACTCTTCCTTGCCATTGAGAATACGGGATTATCACTTCGATTACTATTGGATCGATTCATGGGTTCGATCTTATTTGCGTATTTATAATGCTGAGTTCGAGGGGCAATCGCCTCTGGATCTGTAATAGATGTGTTCGACACACGACCAAACCTCCACAACGGCGATGGAACTCCATTGCCTCCGCAGTAGCCCAGGCTATCTCCCCAAGCACACCGGTCGATCATACCGCGAGCTCGAATCACGATGATACTGTTTTACGCAACTTGTTCGACGCCCCCACGGGCAGATCTTTTCCCAAGTTCAGCTTGAAGAAGAGCCAAGGTCTCTTCAAGAACCGATACCTCACCAGCCCTGATGGCTTCCAACAGTTCGCTCAGAAGAACCTCGAACGGGCACAAAATATTGTTAGAAAAGTCTTATGTGCATCCTCAGTACATGAGTATCGAGCGGTGGTCCGCGACCTTGATCGGCTTAGCGACCTATTATGCCGTGTATTGGATCTCTCGGATTTCGTTCGTATGACGCATCCAGATAGCCGGTTCCAAGAAGCGGCTGCCAACGCGTGGGGTATGGTTTATCAGTACATGAACCAGCTTAATACTATGACTGGTCTCAGCGATCAACTAAGTCAGGCGCTATCTATACCTGAAGTTACAAAGGTGTGGTCGGAAGAAGAGAGAACTGTGGCTTCTCAGCTCAATTTGGACTTTATGAAATCTGCTGTAAACTTGCCAAAAGCTTCACGAGACAGATTTGTGGATTTGTCCTCGCGTATCAGCGAAATAGGATCGGCTTTTGCACAGGGAATGCAACCAGCAAGAAAACAAATTACCCTCCCGGCTTATAAGTTTTATGGCCTTTACCCAGGCATCGCAGCCACGCTCAAAGTACGGCAGAACATCACGCTACCCACTCTGAGTTCAGATGCAATAGGAGCACTTCAAAGTGTACATGACGAGGAGACTCGCAAAGAAATTTACCTGGCCCAACGAACCGCGTCTCAAGAGACTGTCATGTACCTCGAGGCTATGTTAAAGCTGAGAGGTGAGCTCGCAGAGCTTGCAGGTTTCGAAAGTTATGGTCACATGGCCTTGAAGGACCGCATGATGGCCAAGACTCCTGCATCCGTGATGGAGTTTCTGCTTGCTCTAAGAAATAACAACACACCCGTAGTTCAGGCCGAACTGCAGGAATTGGTTTCGAAGAAGCGAGACAGACTCAACCTTCCAGACGTCCCACTCCAGGCCTGGGACAAAGATTTTTATATGGAGAAAATCAGGGTTGACCTAAGGTCTAGACAGCGACAAGAAGATCAGCTCAACGCGTTCTTTTCCGTTGGCACTGTCATACAAGGCCTATCGAGACTCTTTGATCGCCTTTATGGTATCCGTCTTGTGCTGCGGGAGACTCTACCTGGTGAGACATGGCACCCTGAAGTTAAACGACTTGATGTTGTTACTGATAAGGGTGAACTAATTGCCGTTCTCTATTGCGATTTGTTTCATCGTCCACAAAAGTCCGGTAATCCCGCTCATTTTACAGTCAGATGTTCCCGGGAGATTCTCCCTGACGAAGTAGCAGAGGTCGCTGCTGATCATGACAGCAGTGGGCCGAGTTTCGAGTCACCCGAGATGGCAGCCAACGATGGCATGGAGACTTCCTCCGCTGACGGTGTACTGAAGCAACTGCCTACTATTGCACTCGTCTGCGATTTTCAACCAAGTGAGAACTCTAAGGAGCCCTCTTTGCTATCTTACCAATCTGTCGAGACCCTGTTCCACGAAATGGGCCATGCTATTCACTCTATTCTTGCACGAACTAGCTTCCAGAATGTCTCTGGGACTCGTTGTGCGACTGACTTCGCTGAGCTACCATCGACACTCATGGAGCACTTCGCCGCTGATCCTACCGTCCTATCTCTCTTTGCACGCCACTGGAAGTCAGATCGGCCTCTGCCTTACGAACTTGTTGCTGAAAGAATCCGGTTGACTAAACGATTCGAAGGTTTGGAGACAGAGAACCAGATCATTCTTGCAATGGTAGACCAGGTCTATCACGCGTCAACTATGCGGGATGCAAATTTTGACTCGACTGCTGTTTTCCATGATATCAAGGCTCGCTTTGCCCATGGTCCTCGAGATCCGCCAAATACTTGCTGGCAGGGATTCTTTGGCCACCTGCATAGTTACGGAAGTACCTACTATAGTTATCTCTTTGACCGTGTGCTCGCTGAGCGTGTTTGGCGCGTTGTGTTCAAGGCTGGTGAGAATGGAGGTGCCGTCGATCGCGAGAACGGAGAGCGGTTGAAAGAGAATCTGCTAAAATGGGGAGGCGGCAGGGATCCTTGGACTTGTCTCGCTGACACGCTTCAGGATGAGAGACTTGCACCTGGTGACGAGAAATCCATGGCCTTGATTGGGAGCTGGGGAATAAAGGATGACCACCACCCATAGGAACATGGAATTCATAGACGTATCATCAAAAGTAATCAAGTAGATTAAGGCATGCAGGCCCAAAGATGCAGTCAGGCGCAGTAGAAGATAAGTCGAGCCAAGCATTCGTGCCAGAATGGCAATATTTATGGTTCTTGGTATATTATTCTCAAGGATGGCCTTCAATCGCTAATTCAAAGTGACATGACGCTGTTTCGCCCAAAAGTTCCCAGTACGCCAACCTGTGACACCCATAACTGGGTGGGTATCCGATGCAAAATACAAACAAAAAAAACATAAACAATAGCATGCCACACGTTCCAAAGCGCTGCGCTATGTCTATCGAGACGCCCATTGTAGAAAGAGTAGATGTGACAAGTAAATAGTTTTAATGAATGTGGCGGTAGGGATGTGTTCAATGATGAGGAAGAAGGCGGTCGATAACAAAGGCGGTCGTCGTAGAGAGGTCATAAGTCATATGCCACCAGATATCGTACAACTAAGTATCCTTGGATAAGAGATATATGTGTGATCGGGGAATGTTAGTTTTGGAGCGACTCGATGGTGCAGCGTGTTCCGTCAAGAGCCGTAACTGGCTATATTACCCGATGAACCTGCTGTGAAGACCTCTGAGTGCCCCGACCCATAGTGAGTTGTGATAAGGAAAGCGTTCGTGCCGCCTTGGTTTGCGCAAGATCTTCTTTGTCCAGATCTTCACCGAACGCTCCGAAGCTATGTCCCTCTTCACGAGGGGTTTCAAAAGTATCAGAGTACTCGCTCTCATCTCCATGGCCGGTTCCAATGCCCGAGTCCTCGGGATCGATATGTCGACTTTGTGATCTTGTCATGATGGCCAAGGATGTGAGATTATCGTCATCGTCATGGTCAAACGCAGACCTGTCACCAAAGGATTTGGCTGTCGGAGGTGGATCGAAACCGCTGTTCGTGTTTACAGAATGAGACAGTATGCTCAGTTGGTGGCCAAGGGTCTTGACCTGAGTCTCTAAGG